AAATTCAATGAAAGTTTGAACATTATTTGTTTTGCACTGGAGAGTTTAATTAGTATAACACCATTCCCATCAATGATGTTGATGATATACCTAAAATAAATTTCATTGCAGCAACACCAATTCATTAAGATACCAACACGTATTATTACTAGAATAAGAAGTGATGAATGAAAGTCTCTACGAAATGTTTTTTCTCGCTAAAATATTTCTCTCACTATTGTTTGCTGACTTTTAATGTTTTTTATACTACTGCGCAGTTAGTAATTTATATATATATATTTTTGTGCCTCCTGTTTACACGTACCTTCACCGCAAATTCACTTGTTTCCTATATCAAAAGGGTTTTTGGCAAAGAACTTTAATAAGAGATAGTTATCCCGTAAGAATTACATTTCTTTTCAATTATTGTGATTATTACTACTGGTATATAAATAAATATTTTTAAATTGGAGTATACATTTAGTAGTTAAGTGTTTTATGACAAATTGTGACATCTGCTTCACGTAATACAATCAGATTATTTTACCTCGCTTTAAACTACCACTTAAGCCTGAACTTGGCATTTTTTGAAGCGATTCATTGCTACTTTCTCATACTACAGATATTTGTAAATCAGAAAGTAATATAAATTGAATCAGGATAGCGCTATCTGATTGAATGGAAGTGTATTCTAAATATGTGATCACTTTAACCTTTAAGAAATACTTTCAAGTGAAACGGTATGTTTGATATCTTAGGAATGTTTATCAAAGAACGGTTGATTTATATAATCTTGTAGATCGGTGTGCACATCGGATCATGCCGAAGGTGGCGCTCGATATTCCAAATAACTCAATAAGGTAAATCCGAAGTACCATAGACTAAAGAAGTTTTAATAAACATTATTTATTTTTCATATTTTTTATGATTGCAACACTAATGTCGATATCAAAATAGTTCTAATAACAATAATTATTTATTCTATATTTCTTACCAACCTCATTGATATTAAATTAAAGCTTTCATATAAAAATATTACCTACATATGTAATATTGAAAAGTTATATCAAATAGTATATTAGTAATAGATTGAAATGATTTTTTTTTGAATATATACTAACAATAGTATGAATGGCTGGTAGAATCCATTACTGAACATTGTTTGAAATCTTCTATTCTGCGAACGTCCGTTCTGTGGCTTTTGAAGGATTTTCGAGGAATTCAATAATATGGTGAGAATATTGGAGACCGTAAATGAGATCGGGGTGAATTATCGCATACTACGGAAATAACATGTGCCGGAATATATGTATACGTTTATAACTAACTGTACTTGAGTATTGAGTACTTATATTGAAAGATGTGTTTATATTTGAATTTAGTTTCAATGATGTTTGATATACCCACATTATTACAATATAATTGTTGTTTTATTTAATAAACATTTTGATAATTTTCCATATATGCTTTTAAATAAGTGAAATGAGGTATATGTTTTCTATTAGAAGCGTGTCCATTGTGGTTCTTACAAATGAAACAAAGTTGCCACAAGTTCAATCGCTAAAGGAAACTTCGTATAAACTTTATCCTTCGTTCATTAAATATAATATCTGTTATAACTTATTTTTATAGCCTTTCGGTCATCCATTATGTATTTTTCTTATTATCTTCATTGAATTCGATTTATTGTAATAAACCTTTACCAATATGTATGATATGTAAGTTATTTACGCATCAATAAAAATCGATTTCTGCGGAAATTCTCAGCTATATTGGGAATTCTTTATAACAATGTCTTAACAAATATTTCACTCTCTCGCTTCGGTATTTCTGGTATGGATCTCAATGGCCAATAAAGACGAATACGTCTTCATCATTAATCATTGCTTTTTTTTCCAATCATTGAGACCAATGACAATCGTATGAAGGTATTTTTATGGGTTAAAGTTGATCAAAGGATCATTAATATAGTGAAGTAATAATTCTTTAATTTTTACAAATTATTTTGAGTAAAATAAATCATACTCACTCACTCACTCATAACGTAATCATACTAATCGTTGTAATAATATAGAAATATTGTTTTATATTATTTGTGTTCATCTAAAGACTTTACATAGTTTTATCGTTTAAAGTTTATTCCATTGATAAAATAAATTTTCTTCATTCAGTTAATCTGTGGAAGCTTTTCTATTTTTAAACGAATAGTTTTTATTAAACCTAGATAATTTTTTACTAATCCCATGTGCATGTATTTGTGTATAAATGAATAAATAATCATAGCTTCCCATCACCATTGTTTAAATTAATTATATTCAGAAACTACGGTGGTTTTATTTAATTAATCCTCCTACAACGATTACTAATGAGGTTTATTGATGCTTTTTATAAATTTTATTGAATGTAATGTGATAATGCTGTATAAATATCATAGTAACGAGGCATATTTATAAAGGAAATCAACATCCTCTTTAAATTATATATATTTCTAGAAGTTTCCAGCGACTATGTCAGCTTGTATATTTTGTTTTTTCGTAACATTAAATAGACATACTCTTACATATAATAAAAATCTCGTACATAGTTCAACAGAAAAATATTAGTTTCATTTAGACATACTTTTCTTTCAGCTTGTACCTATTACAATATATGCAGACAGACAGTATTAATATGTATATGAAATACAATGCAGTAGATATAAAAATATTTAATTATGAAAATACAAATAGACAACTAAAGAGCAGCCCACCTATAGATACTAAATATATTTTTTAAAAGATTTCTTATTTGTATTATATTAAGACACAAAGTCGCGTGATGAATTATACTGAAAACGTGTAAATGTACTACATTGTGAGTAGTGTTCAGGTTTCGTGTCCGTCATATAATCAACGGGACGAGCGACATGAAGAGTCCTTAACAAGTATCCGGCTCCATGGCAGGACATAACCTTGATTGTATCCGGGAAACGATCGATCTTTCCGGACTAAGAGATGTATTGCCCGGTTTATTCTAGAAGTTCAACAGAATTACCTACATTGAAAAACAGGTATAATAATGTAAAATATAATTCGATCCATGTTCGTATGTACATATATTAATGTCGTTTATTGTTGAAGAATAAAGAAATATGAAAGGTCATATATTAATAAGTCATCCGATAAGCTTTTATGTTAAACAAAGTCAACCTCCACATGTCTTGTCAAATACTATCAGCATCTTTGTCGGGCTTAATGAGATTTGCCCTTTGTTTGAAGGGTTTGTTTAACCACGTCAGTAATTTGCGACCCTATCTATCAACTTAATTGTTTAGCTACGAGGTCAATGACCTGAATAATGAAATCGACTTCTATGATTATTATTTATTACAATTACAATATGTTGAACATATCTTTGTAAAGTCTGTTAATATTAAAGTTCAGTCTTGCTATTGATATAAATGAGAAAACTTTGTTGTAATCTCGAAACTTGGGACAAGTTTTGCATTCTTTTTTCTTATTTTTTTTTAAGTGATGCCTGAGTATATGTATATCTTATTTTTGTGTTCATTAATTGATTCGTCAATGCTAAAATCAGTGGAAGTAGCTTAAAAACAAAATGTTATCGATTTTGTCATGTTATGTCAATTGAATGGAAATCCTGTTATAACATTCGGAATTAAATATTGATAAAATCTCTATTCAAAAACATGATGGAGAGATTATTACAAATAAATTTACAACACGAAAGTACTATGTTAAAGTTTCACGAAATAGTTACTTGCAGACTGCAGTTATAACTCGTATAATTTAAGACTCGTGTTTGTTTAAATCTAATTATTATTAATTAAAAATTTCAAGTATAGGAATCCATTTTATTATGTTTTTCTGTGTAATACATTGTTGTTTAGATTGAGTAACGACGCATTAATTCGAGCCTCAGAAAGGGATTCCTTTGTACTTTTTTTATCTCATTTATTTGAAGATAAAATGAGTAATGGCCTCCTCTGTATTTATTCTAAGTAGCCGACATATTATTTTTTAAGAACATTTTTTTCTCTATATATTACACGTTAATTTCTTCCACCATCTTCGCGTATAAATTTGAGAGACATTTCTGAGTTAAGTAACATTATACATAAATGTAGCTGTTGCTTTTACGAACCGTATTTCTTTAACGTACGTTGTTTTCAAATAACACTATTATTTTTCTATTAAGAAAATAAGTTGCACTACAGATGTGGTAAGGCAAAGAGAACATTCTGATAATTTTTTATCACAAACGTCGAATATTATTCCTACTTGAGATCGAAAGATTTTCGACCTTATCTTTCAGATTTGACGCTTAAAAAAAGTTTATGTTTAAGCAGACATGAAACTCTTTTTATCATATTTTCTAATTCAATCTCTTTTTCGACCACTTCAATTAGTCATAAAATTCTTTTTTTGCAGTCTTCTTGTATATAAGAATTATGTGTATATAAGTATTATTCAAAAATAAATAGTGCATAAATGTAACAAGACTAGTTGAATTTGAGAACGGATATTCAAATTAAACTGGAGAACTTAATGTAGTCTCCATCAATCATCTGAACGTGTTTAATTTCTATTTCATGTTATTTTATTACAGCAATTAACATGAAGTCATGTTCTGCCATCGGCTACTTTCATTTCTCAAACTAGTAATAACATATTTTAGTGAATAATTAAAAACGAGTTAGTGTATTTAAAAGATATATTTTTTATATAGATTTTTTTTCTTATCGATATATTAGATGAAATAAACTACTACATACATATTTTTTATTATTCTGACAATGTTACGATTGTCATAATTTTATTCTATATTATTTTAGTCAAGCAATCATATGGATAGATCTCGTCTGCCCGTGATCACGTTTGCTGCAAAGTAACCGAAACGTAGGGAGTATGTAGTTTTTAATAATAGTAAAATACGCATAGTAACCAGAAATTAATAGTTTCATTTAATTCATATTTTTCGTTTAAAGCCATTATAAAATAAATGAACATTCAAAAACTCACCTCTTTTTAACCACTGCGATGAGGATAACGTGCTGCGTGTTCTTCATTCCACGTATAGCTCTGAAACAACAATTGTATTTAATTTTGGACTACTTTAAAAACATAAGGGTAATACATACATATTAGGACACTTATTTATATTAAGTAACAAATTCTTTTATGTTTAAAAAGTCTTTCTTTTTCTTCTTCTTCTACCTGGCAATTTCCCGGCTATAGCCAGGGTCTGCCTTACATGTTGTGAATAGTTTTGGCTAATTGTTTTTACGACCGGCCGCCTGCCTGACATCCATCCTCTTTTGGGAATCAGCATTAATCAGTGATGTCTAAATATTCTTAGAGAGTACAGATGACTCGGAAAAATCACATTGGTACTTGCCAGGGCCAGGATCGAACCCGCACCCTCGGCAACGTGAGGCGGGCCCCCTAACCATTAGGCCACCACTGACTGCCACGAAAGTCTTTCATAATATTTATTATATAAATAAAAGTGTTTAATAATTAAGAGATTAGATCAAAAACTAACTTTATTTTGTTGATTTTTTATAAGATAACATATTAACTTTGCGGTCTGTGATTGCATCTTGAGGATGAGTTTAAATATAAATAATGTAGGATAAACAAAACAATTTTCTTATCAGTCGTTAAATAACATACATATTAGAATGTTAATATTTAATCTTCAATATATTTCACGTCGTCTAGAAATTTAGAAATATCTTACAAAATTTTATATCTTACTCTGCTCCATAATAAAAATTTTAAGCTCATAAAATATTAAAATAACTAGAACTTAGAGAAATATCAAATTGTACGTTTTTGGTTATCTGTAAAATTAATTAATATTTTCATGCGTATTATGGAAGTTAAAAATAACTTAGATAGAATTTTTGGAATTTTTATCATATACTATCCAATATAAATCCATCCATCGAATATATAGACATTTCGTATCAAATGCGAATTTGAAAATAAAAAAATAATCGCGGGTAGAATGAGGTACCTGCACTTAATAATGTTGTATAAAAATAAACCAAAGTAAAGGCGCACTTGTATGAACTTAAATTTAGGATAATGGCGTTCTGGTCTGACATGCATTTAAACCTTTGAAGCTTTTACTGTGGCCGCATAGTTCTAGACATTTTCCATTAAGGGGTGGTTCAGGAGGGAGGGAGATTGATCCTCGCACCACTCACTCCAGTAAAGGGACGAAGGTCAAAGTGCTCGATGAGATGTAATTATAAATGTACATAACCTTTTATTATTGTTTACATTCCACTAATATGGTTTGGCTTTTTAAGTGACAAATGAAATTTACCTAATTGTATTTGTGCAGTTTTTTAAACATTTTCATATGAAACTTTATAGATTTTCATCGAACATGAGAAGGATATAAAACTTTCTGTTTTTTAGACAAGTCAGAAGTTCTTATAACCTTTGGATTACGGAGTTTCGAGAAATTTGTTATATCTGTATAGACAATTATTCATTATTTGAGTTATTTTGGAGGTTCGAATATTATTCTTCATCCCGTTCTAATCAATTAAACATTCAAATTGATTTAAAATCAATACACTCTATGGTCAATTCCTGGAATCTCATCAATAACACGATACATTAAATGAAATGTTAAATTGGACGTAGATTAAAATAATATTTAACTCAATTACATAAATCTTACATTTCAATGAATGCAAAAAAAGCAACGAGAAATAATTTAAAAATTAAAATATCTTTATATATTTTTTACCTTTCCCTATTTACGAAAGTAAACTTTTACAGAATCACTATTTTATGTTACGTTTTTGGTTATAATTTCACAGCAAAAGTAATAATTAATAAACGTTTTAGAAGCACATACAGAGGCTTTTAATATAAAGAAATACAACTAGACTAAAGAAGATGTAGATCTAGACAATAATATACATTAAATTGAAATAACATAACATATAAACAAAATTAGATGATAATTAACACGAAAGAAATGTTAAAAAGACTCTAAGGATTAAATAATATAATGGTATAATTTTATTCATTAAAAAAAGGGGAAAAGCAAATAACTCGCTTTTGGCTGACGTCACTATGTTTTACAATAAAACTGCCTGAATGCTGAAAGACCCTTCTGAAGGAAAGAAGGATGAGAAGCTTTGTTTCTGAGATGTTACTAGTCCTACGTGTCTTAGAAGTCATGCTGGTTCATACAGCCTTGGATTGAGTGTCAAAGAAATTGTACTTCACAAGATATGAGAAGATTTTTTGGCTTAATGTTTTTGATGACCTATGATTATCAAAAAGACTGATGACATTTGATGTTCAATAGACAAGAAGTTTAACACTTAAGTGAATGTTTTTTTTTCACATTATTTTGATATCATAAATCTATTAATTGAATGATGTTACACTTAGAAGAGTTGAGAGCTTTGGCTTAGAGGTAATTTATTCAAGCTAGCATAAGGCTTAATTGAAAATATATAGTCGACCAAATGAAGTATTAGAATGGAACTAAAACAGTGCATTATTGCTAGTTCCTATACCTACAAATCTTTATGAACTTCATAGGTGACGATTAATTGTCATAAATCATAATTATTCTAACCCGAAAAAAAAATCAATGAAATTCTTATAATTTCAAACTAAAAATCTATCATTGACTTCTTTTAATGTTTGTTTCTTTATTAAAATTATATTAAAGTCTATAATGCTTGAAACTTTTCTGTAGAAACTAAATATTATTATTTATTCCGATTTATTTTGTCTTTATGTCACAGAAGCGACATGTTGATTTTTTCACAAAAAAAGTTAATTGTTTTATTGAAAACATAATTTTTGTTGAAAAATATATTGGCATTTTCCGATATTTAAATTTCAACATGAATATTATTTGTTGTTTGCTTTTCTTTGTAAGTAAATGTTGAATGAAACATGTCATATTAATGTTTTTTATTACAATAATTAAAATAAAATTCAAAACCAGTGACACAAAGATGCATTTAAAATATATAAATGATAACTATATGAGGTATTTACATTATTATATTAATATGTATTCTTATAAAATAGCGACTCAATGACATATAATTCTTCCCTCGTATATTTTTTATTTACACGAACCAATCCATTACAGTAACGTAAAGTTAAAACTCGTAACTCATCTAATAGGTATCGAGAGTCGGTGACAGTCAACAGTCGTAGAAACGGTCTCGTTCTTTATTGGAAAAATTTGTCTCCAAATGGAATTGGAAGATGCAGTCCGAAAGCTAACTATCGGTCAATAAACTATATAACTCTGCTTTATTTTATTCTTTCTCTCCAAAGAGGTTTTATTATTATAAAAGTTAGTTATATATTTCTTAAGTTTTATCGTTTATTCTGTTTTGATATTTGATTTTGTTTGTTATATCTTATTTTAGCTCTTTATTATTAAAAATTAAATATATAAAGAAGTTTGAATGGTTTATTTCTTAACTAGAAGATCTTACTTTACTCAAATATGTGTCGCCTTTAGGATAGAACAATGTGGATATACATAGTTGTGGTTATACGGTATATAGTCCCCTAAGTAAGTCAGGGTATACGTCGAATATATCGGAAGGCTGACAGGGCCTCCAATGACAGGAGTTTATTTAGGTCAACGATTAACGTCACACGACCACAAGGACTTTGTACTGTGTTGTAATATTAAAAAAATATTGTCAGAAGCGTTCAAGAATAAAAAATCATAAGGCTATTAAAATATTTTGTTTTTGTTATAATATAAGGGTGATTAAGGGTTTTGATTAATATGAGTTTTTATATGGACTCTAGTCAATTGTAGTATCATTTGTATGAATTAGGAGTTAAGATGTACTGATATTTTAAAGCGTCCGTCTCAATGCTTTCAGTAATATCGATTTCCGAAAGCCCGGTTATAAAGCTTCTTAAGTGAAACAAAGGCTTTGTCTTTCGTAAATTTATTTTGTTTGACATTTTTTCATATTTTTATCACATAAGAATATAGAATTGAATTTAAACTCCTTAGTCTTTAATGTAAATTTTTAGTACAGGTTTTCTGTTAAAGAATATTTTTTCATTAAAACTCATTCATATTTTATTTCACTTTTAACTGTGTTTTTCATTTAGAATTTTCACTATTGAATTTCATAAATTATGTAGTATTATACAGTTTAAAGTATTTCCTAATAGGCTTATATTAAATTACAAAACTTTCTTTTATTTTCGAAACTCCATTGTAATATTGAATTTCGATGAATTTCAGTTTTAAAACGATCATATTGTGTAAATACAAATAGCTCGACGTCGTCTTTTCTTCGCCGATCATCCATCATGAAAGGAATGTCACAAAATGGGGTTGAAAATAATGCTTTTACAGTCGATTTAAAACATTCTTTACTCGACCACGATGTACGTATGTACGGAGGTGGTTATTTTTCACAAATGTTACTCCTTAACTAACATAGATATACATAACAATATATTTATCAATTAAGTATTTGAAATAGATAAAAAAAAGATTTCATGTACACCTTCTCACGGGCGGAATGACGTTTAAACACTATCCTGTCGATTAAAAAAAAAGTATTATTATCTGCTTTAAGTCGTATTTTAAAATCTGTCAAAGAAATATTTGTTTAACTTTCTTATCACATTCATTGTGTTTGTTATAAAAAGCATTTTAACCTTACATGTTCTATTATTGAGTACAATTTACAATCTTTGTCACTTTTTTCTTATATTAAATAAAATGACATTTTACAAATTGCTACCTATGAATAACCTCAAACAAACTATATGATCAATTTGATTATATAAAAACTAAATTTATGATACGTCAGAATTTTAAAAGTTGATTTATATATTTTTTCTCTTACCCACTTCTAGTGTTATAAAACACGAAATATAAACGTCAGTCGCAAGATTTATAAGTGAACTAAATATTATAATTGGTTTAATAAAATTATCGAATATAAGAGATAAAAAAAAAACAAGTTTAAAATGAAACTATGAAAATATTTGCATCTCGTCTGCCCGTGATGATGGTTGAAGAAAAGTAACCGAAACGTCGTTTCTATTTATTTTTAACAAAAATTATATACGCCTAATACAATCCTAAAAATATTAGTTTCATTTAAATAAATACTCGCGAAAGCCTTAGATCTCATTAAATGAACAAAATTACTTTGCTGCAAAATTATATAATTTCTGCTTACATTAAGATTTCAACGTTTTGTGTTTTTGCTATGATATTTTAGTAAAATAAGGTTAATGTATCCCAAGTAAAGATAGGAACATATAAGTGAGAGTTTTAATATTTTTTTTTATTACTTATACTTAATCATCTTTAGATTCATCGTTTATAAATGCATTTAGAAGCCTTTCATCTTTTAACAAAAACCTTAAACGTTGATCGTGTTATTGTTGAAGTGTTTCATTCACCATATAACCTGAGGCCGTTCAGTATCTATCAGTACAATAACCGTAAATTAATTTGAACCAGATGGAATCGTTATTCCTCATAACTCTGTCTTTGTGCTATCAATTAATATTGTCTTAAAGAGGTTCATTATGAGAATAGATTTCATAGGGATTTTAATTAATATTAATTGACTTAGGAAACTTATTAAGAAATAGACTTTTATTTTTTTATACAGATGTTTTTAATTTATTGTATTTCTATCTCATCTATGTATTTTGGCTGTTATGTTGCGATTTATAAGAAAATTTTCTAAATTATAACCATAATATCATGAAATTCAGATATTTTGGGTAAAAAAATTTTTTTTTTTTGTTAAAGAATAAATAATACTCTAAATATATAACAGGTTTTATCACTCACCGTGCTAATAAGGTAGCATCCATGAGTTGTATTTGTCGAGCGTCAATCACGACAACGTGGGGTTGTTTTGCGTCTTGGTCTCGTCTGAATGCGTCCAAGGCTTCTCTGGCAGAGCGAACAGCTCGTGACTCGCCTCCTGACCTGGCAGCAGCGCTGCAAGCTGCAGCACACACGCGTGACCCTCGCTCCGGGAACACACATAGCAGCTGGACACACGATACAGCTTAGCATTGTGATAAACGTATATATAGCTTATTTTAAGATACATAGTACATACAATATACAATTCGTCGGCGATAGTGCGAATCTGCGTAACCAGCATTGGATAATTCCGCGTATCTGCATTGGAAGCAGATTATCAGAAGAAAGTTTAATCTGAAATATTATCTAATTTAACAACTTTTAGTGTAATTTAGAAAAACATTTCAACTTAAATTTTCTTCTGATAATAATCTGCTTCCAATGCAGAGACGTAGAATTATCCAATGCTAGTTACTCAGTTTTGCACTATCCCCGACGAATTGTCTAATAAGATGAAGACTAAGGCTAGAATGTTCAGAAAGTTTTTCTCTTTATTTCTACTTATGTTTCTTTTAAATTCTTATTTCGTTGTTCTAATTAACTAAGTAACCTTATATAACAAATATAATTTTCTTGAAATTATGTTTAATAAAGAAAATTAACTGTATTATAAGAAATATAACATAAATATTTTTTTGTTATTAAATGATAGTGTTACCTCTAATGGCTCTGCGGGGGCGTAGAGTAAGGCTGACGGAACTTGCGACGGTGGCGGCGACCTGTTCTGCAAAGAGAATACTGAAGTGAAGAGAAAGTTGGGATAGGAACTTCAATTGAGAAGTGACTTTTAGAAGTATGTACCAAAAACAGGTAAAGTCGAGGGCAGTCACTAGTGAACAGTTTTTGAACCGTAGGGTAGGTTACTACGAGTATTTAAAGGCCATTATGTGTATATTATATGTAGTTAGGCTAGTATCCTTGTTTGTCAATAAGATTTTAAAAGAGATGACTTTATCGGTTTCTAGTCATTAATTATGTTGAACTTTTTCTCCCTACAGCAGTACCAAGTCGCTAGTTTGTGCCTCCTCTCATCATATTAATAAAATTGTTACCATAGATATGTTATCAAGTAATGGAATTCTCTCATAAGTCAAATAAAATTATATTGTTATATTTTAATAATGATATTATTAAGTTCTGTAGGACCTTTTTCTATATTTGCCATGCCAAGGTTTCTCTAATGTATCAAATATAAAAGCTTGTATGATTCCCTCCAAAGTTTCTTTCGTAAGGTTCGGTCCCTTTATTATTGACCTAAATTTTCCCGCGGCCCAAGTGTATTAAATTCTCCGAAGGTTATTTTCTGGATAAATAAGACAAAAAGTAAGATTTAGGCTGTGAAATATTATTTTATATATTTATTCAATAATTAATATTAATAATTCAAAACTTAAAATAATAATTTTAAGTCTATATCCATAGATTATATTTATCTTTCATTAATTTTATAAGTTTTAATTACTTAAGTACAGTTTAATTAAAAGTAAGTAAACAAATTGAAATATTTCATTACTCCACTCGCAATTTATAAGTGTAAATTTACGAATTAATATTTTTAATGTACAAGTGTAAAGACAGATACAACCTTGTAATTAATTTTAAAACCTCAATTTTAAAGATATTGTTTTTCTTCAATAATAAATATTTTGATATAATGTACAGTTATTATTTAAATAAATTTTACTTGTATAGATTTTTAATATTCAGCTGAGGCATAATTAGTATTACTATCGATTGAATACTACATTTATTTGACTTATTCCAGTGAAATGCACAAATATGTACGCAGTTCCTATTTTTTTAAGTTTTTCATGTTTTTGACTGTAGTTAAATCAAAATTATTGGACTATATATTCTCAAGCACAAACAAAAGAGCCATTTTCCTCCCAGACCGGGATGGGAGTTAAAAGTGTTTTATCCCGTAATGCGGTTACATTTTGTTTTTCCCATGGCATTAACTTGAAGGGTCCATGAACGGGGATTTGAGGAAATCCAGAACATAGAATTTTATTTTCATCAAATCAGAAATTATTAAAAACTAACTATAAAAAATACCAATGTGATTTTTCCGAGTCATATGTATGTACTTTCTAAGAGTATTTATACATCACTGATTAATGCATTCTCAAAGAGGGTCGATGTCAGGCAGGCGGCCGGTCGTGAAACAATTAGCCAAAACTATTCACAACATGTAAGGCAGACCCTGGCTAAAGCTGGGAAATTGCCAGGTAGAAGAACAAGACTAACTATAAAAAGATGTTTCTAAGTTATTGTTTATATATATATTATATGTTTTAAATATTCTTCGACATAAAAGTATATGAAGTACATTATAAATTTAATTTCTTTTGTGTGAGTTCGTTCAATGTTAATTTCATTAACTTTTCCGTTCAATCTCTATAAAAGGCTATGAATTTTGCGGAGCATTTGTTAAATTTATAATTTACTACTACTGGCGGAATTGTTCCTCTCATAAAATGTTTTATTGTGTTTCAACGCGTTTATTCAATGGACGATTTTATTAACAACTTCTTTTATGTGACTCGTATTATATTAAATTTTTGTAGTATGAATAGCTTCTATTGGGCAATAGTTTTTGTGCTAACCTAAAATTTCTGCATAAAAATGAATAGTTTTATTTTAGGTCTTATTTAGAATTCAAATATTAATAAAAATTTCAAAGGTTAAAGTGCAACAGCTACTGTTTTTATTAATTCCCTACGCAAAAAGATGCTGTTGTATTTTTGATGTTGATGTCTGTGTGTGTGTCGATCTGTCCGTGGCATCGTAGCTCTATAACAGACCCAACCTTTTAATTGATATTTTATGTACAAGCCATTTTTCTTACGGCGGATAACGGATATTTTTGGTTAATATTGGTCCAATATTGTTAAAGCATCAGATTTTTAGGAAAATGATATAAGGCTTTTGGCCTGACTTCTTGATTAGGTGCTCACACGTGCCTATGTGAAAAATAAATTAAAATTATTGCCTAGGCTTTTATTTTAAAATTTAGTGACTTTTTTGTTATATTAGTTAAATATTAATATAAATATCATAAGTGACAGTGACGTGGGACTATGTACAAATAAACTTCTGGTCAGATGCTAAAAGTTACTTACGATTGATGAATTCTTGACAAAAAATTAATATCAGAAACCTGAGAAACCGCTACTGAAATTAAAAACTATGCTGTGTATAAATATTAAAATCTAATTGCACACTGGTCTGGAGGTAGTCTTTAACTCTTTATTCGAAAAAACTTAATAACCGTTTTTATGAAATGGAAGGCGGAGGTATACCACAATGGGTATGCGAACAAAAGCACGAAAGCAACAGTTTAATAATTACCGAGCTCACAAAAGGACATTCCAGTCGGTTTTAGCGTGTAGCTGGAGTTCTTAATAATGGCCTTGTGGCGGGCTTGTGGCGAGAGAGCCTGGGGATAATTGGTCCATCTAATGATATCCACCGCAACGACACATGGCTACCATTTCAACTAACATTACGAATAACGAACGACGAACTTAAATTCATTTAGAGATTTCATTCATTTAAACAGTTAAAATAAATTTGAATTGGATTTGAGACATTCTTTAATGGAACAGAAATGTTAGTTTAAGACAAGAATATTATATCAGTAACCTCCATATAAATCGATAATTGAAATGTTTTAAACTTTGTTAAAAATATAACACTATAAATACGACGCCACAATACGTAGTACATAAATTCTAACCATGCATGTCCTTGTTAAAGTGAAATGAATGTGTTAGTCCCTGAGGTATTAAGAGAAGGTACAAGTAACAAAATTATGATGAAGATAACAATAGATATTTCAAATATCTCATTTAAAATATTTTATTAGTACTGTACATAAATAAATTACATTTAATTTCTAAAACACGGTCACTTTTTTTAAATTTTTATACGACGATGTGATAAGATATGTTTGAAAAAAAAAATACACAAAATAATGTATTATGGAATATAATAAAAATCATTTAATCTAAAAGAATGTAAAAGTTTAATATAGAATTTTAAAATAAGGGTCTAATTAATTTTTACAACACTGCATGCCTACACAGGTTTAAGAATTTATTTAGTCAAGCAAAAAACACTAAAGTTTATAGTTCTTCATATATAAATCTAAACCGATACTATCAGATTACGAATAAAAAACTGGTAACTGTTAGTAATTACTTATACGATCCAAACTTATGATAAGGGTAACAATCAATTTAACTAAGGTGTGAATATGTAAATTTATATTAACTATTTTCACTTTTTGTGCAAGTAAGTTACACAAATATTGGTTATAGGCTGAAAAACATTTTTTATACTTCAATTAACACTCATAACTTCCCTATTTTTATGTCTTTTTTGCTTAGTTCTTAATGTTTTTTTACGCTAAACCGAGTTTAACTTAAAGGTTTAATATTTGATTCCTGAAAGACGGTATGCAGAATTATTTTCATAGCTACATGTGACCTCTAACGCCCTCAGTGAAGCTTATCGCTATCCTGTTTTGTATTCATTGTCACTGGCACATGAATAGGAAGATTGTAGACATTGCGCTCGCAATCCATAAATCCTTTAAGCATATAACGTATATGGGATTGTCCACTCACTGGAGACTTACTGTTATGATAAAGAAGATCTAAAATATATTTATAATATGTATGTACGATATCTTTAAATAAGTTGGCTGTTCTAAAATATATTAAAATCAATTATTAATCTTATTCAGCGTTTAAATTTCCTTCCTTATTTATCTCTTCATAACATGAGCTAACACTGTTTTTATTTAAACTATTTTGTTCGTGTTGGTTTTAATTTGTGCCTAATAATAATAATTCTTATGTTGGAGTAGTATAACATGCTGAGCACTGGTTGGTTTTAGTTGATAAAAAAGTATACGTCTGACGTACGTCAATTGTTTATTGTCTTACAAATATTAACTTTTCCCATGTAAGGTGTGTTCATCATTAAAACAATCAATATGAAGGGAGCTTTTGAATTATCAAATTCCTATCTTTTCTTTGATGATTAAATGCTAGCTACTCTTAGAGACTATTACAGTTAACAATTTATTTTTTCGGCAGAGGATACGATGAAACGGTATCGTGAAAATACGTTTGAGAAATTTTTAGACAACATTAGGGTATTCTACATATTAAGGGCCCATTATAAACCTTGCCTCGACCAAAGATACAAAATGTCCTATAAATAAAGTTTCAAAACTATACTTCATGATTTTACCTGATGATTGTGATATCAAATTTAAAGATAATTAGTTAATTTATAAAAAACCATTTTATGTTACATCGTAATGTAACACGGTTGCAATTATCTTAGATTGTGTTATGTGTTTACATAAAATTATACCTAATAAGAACATCATTCGTTTCATGATAGCAATTATCGTATTGAAACTTTATAGCCATAGTCCAGACCAACGAAAGTAGCATAAAACAGTCTAGACTGAGGCGATAGAAAGAAAGAAACTGTACGCTTTCAATATATAAATTCTGTTCGTTGACATTTAATTTCAACATTTAAATTTTGTTTCAACTATTTCTTCAAATATAAGAGATCACATGAAACAATTACTTATTAAAAGACAAATAAAGACGAAATTAAGAAGCTGTGCTGCGAGTTTGTATTTACATACGAAAATACGCAGAATAAATGATTCAAGTTGTATTTGCGATTAAGGTATTTCATATTTATCAGTGCTGGCTGCATGCCAATATAGTACGTGTTGCGGACCGTTAAGTGCTATTATTGGATATACGGTTGCATAACAAGTTTTTAAGTACTCTACACATACTCAACATTACAATGCAAATGGTATCAGATTAGATCTCTATCGGGTAGTAGAATGTTATTCAATTTAGGTTAACTTAGGAATTTACTAATAGGTTCAGTTCGTGTGATTTGTTATGTATTTATATTAACAATATATTGTATAGAACATTTTGTAACCAAACAGTTATATTATTTTTAATTAATTAATAAAAATATCACATGAATATAGATGTTAATATCAGTACGAGTATATGGTTTATATATCTTCGATATTGGTATATCAAATAATATTACAATTTTACGTACAATCTCCAAATAAAGAAAAATTTTGCATACATTGCGGCAATTTTTTGAGTGGATTCGGTAAGCTCTAGAACGAATTGTAGCGAATAAATTTTAATTCAGCCCCGGCTTTGCTTAAACGATTCGGATCACGTTGTCGTGCGGCGCCGGCTTAATGCCACATTTGATATTTTAATTGACATGTTCCCAAACAATTAGTGGCAAAACATGCTATGGAATTATACCTGATATATATCACTGACATTATTTAATTGGATTCCGTTTCTAACGTGCACTTGAATGCAGGTGTTGATGACATTTAGATTGTGAAAATTTGGTTTGGTATATGAGTTGAGACTTCTTAGATATGTTTTAAATTAGACAAAATTAAAGTATGAAGTCGAACATTTTAATAAACTATTACCGTTATAAAGATAATATTGAAACTTTCAGAACTAAAATCTTAAGAAAAAGTTACGTCTTTTATTAGGTTAATATCATTGGATCGACTTATTGGCAATAATATTATATTTCTAATTCAAATAGTAATCCATATATGTAAAAATAAGTAATATTTATATGTACATAATAACTATGTATATGCATATGAAATACGTATTTAAACAGCTAAAACTTTACTACCGTCTTCAGAATAAACCCAATCTTTGTATTTATAGGAAGTATTCGATAACAAATTTAGATTCGGGAAACTGATTTTTTAATACTGACGTAATAAAAATCAATATTTTTTACAGTAAAGTTATTTAATTGGACGTGGGCGTATGTCGCCTACAGTGGTATAACAAATAACGTTCTGGTCACGTCCCTAAATAGTCTGATTGAGGCTTTGTTCCAATTGTATTGTTCGTCATTCTGAAATATTGCAATGAAGATGGAATTGGTGTAACGCATGGACCTTTATATTAAAGTTACTTTCGTCGAACAGATAATGATATTGTTTTCAGGAAATAGTAGATAGAATATGTGGAATTGGAATATCATATTATTATAGTTACTATAAAATTATAGCATAATTTCTTTTAGAAGGAGGCGTTTAGGGTTTTTATTGCTGAATAACGATATGACAGAACATTGAGAATTATGTTTGAATATAAATAAATCTGTAAGCATTAATATAAATGTCTATTAATTGGTTTAATTTATTTTTCATTTTGTTTTATTAGAATTCAATCTTTACCTGTTCCTCTTCAGCATCAGCTGTTTCTTCTGCAATATTAGTTAATAGTAAACTAGGTCTCATAGACACCCTGTGACGTAGTGTGGATCTCCGCTTACTTTCTAAAACTTCCTCTTTCAAGTCATCGTTCAGTGAAGCAAATTGCTCATAAAAATTTATAACTCCCGATAATTCCCCATCTATATTCACTATTTCTTCTGATTTTTTGCGAATTGAATTTCTACTCTCTTCGAGTTTTTTATAGCCTTCACTTTCACTTTGATTTTCTTTTAATACATTAATAGTATTATTACTGTTGTATTCAAACTCTAGATCGAATCCTCTCTCTTCAAACAAACTAATAAACCTGGCCCAGCAACCGTTTCTCTTTACTTTGACATTCTCTCCTACGTTTGATTCCCTCATACTTATGTTATTACCGTTCATGTTTTACAATTACCGGACACCTAATGTTTACTCATCAATAAAATTGTCTGATTCAAAATCTCTTCAATCACTAATAGATGACGTATTTAAGTATGACCAATAAAACTAATTAAAATAATCTTGTCACTGAAAATCTGATTATTTGATAATACGAAACCGTGATTTTTGATGACGAGAGAACATTTTATATTGTTACATATCACACGAAATACCTTAAGACACGTTAAAACACTGCATATGAACTGACACTACATTTTGAACAATTTACAAGGGAGTCACTTCTCGTATTTAACTATTCCACTCATTTGATAGTTTAATTCAATATTATATGTGCCTATTGTAAAAACAATATCAAACACGAAATAAAACCTATACGCAGCACAATGTACAAAAGTATTTACAATACTGAGACTGTTCTGTAAGTAGCATTCGTATTGATTACAATGATAAGACGATAACGAATAATTATTTTAAGTATTTATCAATCAGTGTACAATGATTATAAAACGAGGATAGATTTAGAGCTTCTATTGGTTATGCTATCAGAATCTTCATTCTAGTAAGTAACCAAGTAAAAAGGCATTTATACATCAAACGGGTATCATTGCTTGAACAGTATTTTTGATGGAAATATCAATTTTGTAAAGAAATACATGGAATCAAAGAATAGCCAGTTATAAATATGACAAATAATATATGCTAGTATCTTTATATCAAGGATATTTTAATTGAATGTGTAAGTGTCTCTCTAATCAAGTACTGATCTAACTTGCGTTAGAAGTCTATTTATGTAACAATATAAGTATTACATTTAGATATACTATCAAATGTTAGTAATATTCTACTATACATGTAACTATCATTAATAAAACCGCATAAGATATTTATCGATTGATAGTTTGTGTCTAGTTGTGGATTGGTATAAAGATCAAATGTTTGAACATATGTAGATATGAGCAGTATTTTTGTTTTTAGAAGTTATATTTCCTCTGTGTCGTGTAGTTTATGAGCTGTATCGAGTATAAGAGATCATTTGTACTTACGGCGATATCTACTAAGGGTTCGTCTTCTGGTGTGAGAGCTAGCGATGACCGTCTGCCGGCACGCGCGCCCGGCGACCCACTGGAACTGCCTGAAACAAAAGGTTTCATTATATTCAGCTTACATTTACTCTAATTAGGAAATTGTATCTTAATATTCATTAATAAGGTTCAGTTTTCTCTATCAAATGGTTGGTCATGATAAAGTAATTTAAGAGTTAGTAAATCTTATATATTATAAATACTTCCCTAATTTTGTCTTTATGATTACAAGCAAGTGTTTTGCGCTAGAAATGCTTCAAGATACAAACTAAAATGATCAATATTTCTCATTTGTATGTCTCTATTAATGAAGTAAGTATAATATCCCATACTGTGGTATTAATTAATATTAATAGCATAAACCTTGTTGTGCTCAGTACGTGTTTAATTCTTGTAATAAATTTTATGCATGTTAATGGAATCTAAGGAAATCTCCTATATTAATTGATATTTTCAAAAAATCTCAATTTATGTCTTTTCTCTTGCTTTATTCTTGTCTTCGCTGTAATACTTTTGTATTCCAAGATAAAAATCTTAATACCAGTAAATATATGAATTACAAGAAATAAAAATATTTATTTGAAATTAATAACGAATTTTAATAACATTAATTAATTCTCAGTATGAACAGAACATTTATTGTTAATAATTCCGATAATTGATAGTTGAGTGTTATAAAGTAAGAAAATGCTTAATTTATTTTATAATGAATACTCATTTTCTGAGTAATAATTTTCTGATAAGTATTTTATTAGATAAGTTATGTTGTGAAGCAATTCAATATTAAATTAGATGCCATAAGAAGAGCTTTTTTTGGTCACGATTCTCTGATATGTTGAAGGCTCTCATTGAGTCGAGAGTTTCAATGTTAGCGCGAGGTAATCGTCTATCATTATTGTTACTATAATTCTTACGTATATTATTAACGTATTATAAAATTTTACATACGTTTTATTTAAGAGTATTTCAGGTTGCTCAATATACCAGGACATAAAGGCAGGGCTAAGGTAATAATTCTTATATTAGTATGTAATCCTTTTCAATGTTTTATATTACATATTTAAACTTCCTAATGTCAGTGCTGGCCTAGTGGTTAAAAGGCCTGCCTCTCATGCACGAGGGCGCGGGATCGATCCTGGCCCTGGCAAGTATCAATGTGATTTTTCTTAGTCATATGTATTTTCTAAGAGTATTTAGACATCACTGATTAATGCATTCCCAAAGAGGGTTGATGTCAGCCAGGCGGCCGGTCGTAAAACAATTAGCCAAAAACTATTCACAACTTTTAAGGCAGATCCTGGCTAAATCTGGGAAATTGCCAGGTAGAAGAAGATATTATTAAAACTTCCTCTATGTTTTTATCAACAAGAACTGGTAGTCACCAACCCTAGCTACTAAGAATGCTTGATAATGCAGACATGCAGTACTGGACTCTCTGCCAAAAGGTGTCATCTCAACAGAATTGCGATTATATTTCTTAGCTTTAACGTAAAACAAAATGTCACTTGCGATATTTTTATCAAAGATATAGGGTTGGGTCTTCAAGGCTGTTAGTATATTTGCTTAGAATCCAGAGTTTTTTTATTCAATAGTTATGTTAGAAGTATTTATAGAAAAGAAAATGTTTAGTAGGTACCAGTATTACTCAGAAACTGTACACAGATACTAACTTATTTGACACTACCCCTATTCTGGTCGATACCTATAAGTATACCTATTAATAAATGATTGATACAAAATAAACAAACTACTCACATGTATATATTTCAAACCAATATATATTACATTCTATCACTTATATTGTATAGTTTATTTCCATTTAAAATTATAAGTTCATTCATTCATTCATTGATATTTACAAAATCATTAATAATTTAATATACAATCAAAGCTTTATTAAAATCGAAGCGACGAACGAGTGAATGACATTGAATGGGAAATCCTTTTCATATTATAGCATTGTTTGAAGACATTTCAATTAACAAATAAATTTCATTGATATGTAACACAGTAATATCCTGTGTCGGTTTATCAATGGATTCATAAATTACTTAAAACGTTGCCAGAATATTTTAGATACCGCTTTCTCCATATGATGGGCGTTCTTAGGCGGATCGAACTAAATATAATGAAAGGTTTATTAAATATTTCGACATAAATTGTTATTCACTTACAAAATTAATTATATATTTTTAAATGTTTAAGTGTATAAAGATATCATATTTAAGTCAAAGTAATTTTAATAATCAAATTATTGATGTTCTAACATATGTACATACAAGTCGTTATTAATTTTATTTGTTAGAAATTTTATCCTAAGATCAGATTTTCAATATAATAGTATTGTAATTCATAAATATCATAAAAGGTTTGATGAATCTAAATAAATGTAATGATACAATACATACGTAACAGTATTTTTTAAACATATCAATAAAATCTATATCTTACATATAGCTTTATACAAAAACGCATAAAATTTTGCTTATAACATGAACAATATTATTATAAACAAGATCGGTTTAAAATAAATGTAACACGCATTGTACTAAATAGAACTGATATTAATAAAAAATTTAATATTAAATGACGTATGTAGTCATTAATTGATCGTTTTTATAATTACCAGTTTCGTTCTCATCACTCCCGCGTCTCATCAGCCACCGCTGAACTATCTCTATGCTAGCTTCCTCAGCTAACATTATTAAATAACATATTTGTCACTTCAAACACTAAACACTACACACTAAATTGACACATACACTATTTACACGTAGTGTTTTCCATAACATCTAAACACTACCATCATAGAATATAAATTTACTTACTGTATATATTAAAAAATTAATAACTCAATTACTCAGCAAATGACAAGACGTGTATTGAGTTAACGTTCAAATATCGTATTAAATGATGATCGCTAATGTAAACAGAGCGTTGTAGGTGATACCAATTTATTCTTACAGCCTAGCATGATTCAGTTCGCGTGATTTTTAACTTTAATATCAATGTTATAAGATATATTATCACTTTCACCATTATTATCGATGGTGTAGCGGGGAGTTTGCGAGCCAGCCGGTTAGGTAATGGCCGTCAAGTCGGACATATCGAAGAAGGGGGGTGAATGTAGGACGAATTGAGCATAGCATATTAACTGGAAGAGATACGTAACTCTGTTTTATAGTTTGATGATGTTTGATGTGCATTTTAATTGTATTGAACTAAATAAATGACTTCGAAGGTTTTGAATCAGTTCGTGATATGTCATAATGACGACACACTGTTCTTCAATAACATCGTGTTTTTATGTCTACACTGGCTTATTTTTTGTAAGACATATGTCAAAAGTTATTAAATGTTTCCAAATGTCAAATCGTATACGTAGATGTCAACGAGAATTAAATATTAGTGTAGGTGTTATATCTCTTTTATAACAATTTTACATGTAGTATATGTAAAAATAATTTATATTTTTGATATGAATTAATTAAATTGTATTATATAATATAAAAGTTAGAGCACTTCTTGTCAATCTTATGATTGAGACACCTTATAGAGACGTTTGTCGCAACTAGTCTCACAGTCGCCTTTTGTGTTGAGACCAGTTTGTTTAGTTATTTGATTTTATCTCCACTATTATTGTAATATATTTATATTTTAAGCCTAACTGTATAGCAAATTAACCGGATTAAGATATTGGTGATAAGAAAAAACTCAACGCAAATTATATAATAATTAATATACAAATGCATAATTCAATAAAACCTTTTCTATATGATGCTTTCTGCTGTTTCGTTTGCTTTAAATTAAAAGAATTGAAAATGTAGTGGTAGTTATATATATAGGTATAACAATAGCACGTTCATTATGAGATCTTCGTACGTATGTGAGATAAGAGCAGGTAATCCCATGTCTTTG